AATGTAAGGAGGACTCATTTGTGCTATTAAATCCGGTATGCACCGGGGTTGCACCTGTGGTTTTCAGTATCAGAGGAAAAGCCAAAATTACATGTGCTTTTAAGGGTTTTTTCTCTCCATGAGGGCAGTTCAACACTTCACACATCTCAACCTTGGCAGTCACAGTCAATCTCTAATACAGCCTTTTGGAGAACAAAAACTACCATGGAGCCTGATAAATAGCTGCATCTCCCTGATTTCTTTCATTTTCTTCTATTTCTTCTTTTTCTTGAGCAGACACCATGGGTGTTGCAGCCCCTGGGGCCTTTAGCTGGGGCCAGGACAGTAGCTCTGCTGTGATCTGTGTGTGAGCTGCAGGGAGTATTGATTCTTGGTGATGATTTGGAGGCGATGACGATGCCTCCGTCCTCCTGAGCCTGTTGCATTTACATGATCCTTATGGCTGGAGTGACATTAACGGGCTCTGGACATCACATCTGTCTGCTCTTTCACAAGGCTTTGGCAGACTGCAGGGGTTCAGCACATGTTCTGAATTATCAGTGCTGTTGCTCATCTCTCAAAGTAAAATTAATTTAAATAAGACCAAAGCACCTTAGAAGCAATCCTGGGCCATATAATGGGAAAAAGCATCCATCTGTTTTCCTCACTTTAAAAATAAGCAAAATTGTCTATTTCAAATTGCAGTAGATAGTTGACCTGTCCTACCAATGCTGTTGCTATCAGTGGATGCGATTTTACTGATATTTGGGATTTTTCATTGTATTGTATTAATGACCAATTCACTAAAAAAAAAAAAAAAAAAAAAGCCCCAAATTAATGTTTTCTGAGAACATTGCTGTGACAGTTCAGGAGATAGCAGTGACTATTGCCAAGCTAAAATTCTAGCGCTTGTTCTTGATGCAATAAACAGCTTAGTCTCCTTTAACTTTTGTTTTTTTCTCTATTTAAGGTATTGCAAAATAATTTGATTTCTGCTGGTCTTGCAAATATTGGAATGCCTGTTCCTTGCGTGTTTGGCTGGAAAACCCAGAGCTTCCTCCCTGAGATTCGAACCTGTGCGTGCAGGTAGGACTGCTAGTGTCTGCTGGGCTTGCGAATGCTTCTGGTACCAGTCCTGATCTCTCACATCAGAAACCTTGCAGATGTGTAAGAAGACAACCCTGTCACTCCTCGGAAAGTTTGGTGTGTGCTTCTTGTATGTTCTGGGTGCATAAGAACCTGCAGAATTTAGATTTTAGATGTTAAGATTCTGTAGAATTGAGATGAAGCGTAAGGAATATCATTTCAAAAAGTACCCTTCAACAGTGTGCTGATGTACTGGAGGATGCTTAATGTCTTCCAAAGCCAAGCTTTCAGATAACGTTCACTGGGAGAAGAGAGCAAAGCAGAGAATGATTTGTGTCCTGAGAGCGTCTTCCCGGCTGTGCGGGGCGGTTCACGCGTGCCGGGCTCTTATCTCTGTTTCGGGCTGCTCTCTGTGGGGGTGGAAGCAGCACTTGGGCTTGATGATGATGAGGGGTTTTTCCAACCGCAGTGATTCCTTGATAATGATCCTGGGGAAGGGCGGGCGGCCGGTGCCTGGTCGGGGCTGCAGCCCCTCAGGTCAGCGGTCAGGACGTGATCAGCTCAGTGTGCTCCCGATCTCTTGCAAGGCCTGGGCACAGCCTGCTGCTGCTCCGGCAGGAGGGCAGGTGGAGAGGCCACGGCCTCCTCGCAGCTCCTGACCTCGCTGCTTCCCCAGCTCCTGTTAACAAGCGCTCTCTCCTTTAAGATGTGTCCATGGACAGAGAAAGGCTGGGTTTGTAGGGCAGAAATGGGGCTGGGCAAGCACCGGACAGCCTGGCCAGCACCTGATCCCGCAGGCTCGCACGGTCCCTTGGCTCTGTGGCCTCAGTGCTCTTTCCTCACGGTGCTCTTCATCCCCACACCAAGCACGTTTTCCTCCTTGGACGGATGGGTCTTGTCCGGCCTCTGCCTCCCCTTGGGCACTCCGCTTGAGCGCTCCCCTCAGGAAGCTTCCTTGGGTGAGAGGAGAGGAGAAAACAAGCTGGATTTTGGCAATCTGGATGCTGTTTACTGCCTCGTTGAAGTAATGCAAGTAGTCACTTTTTGTTTTTATTTATTTTTCCCTTTTTGATGCAGATGTTCTTTGCACGCCGCCCGGGCTGCGCACTGCCGCTGTTTTCATTGGCGATGTGGGCTTGCGTCGCTGGAGCTGCTTCTGGGGCTCTGGGCAGAGCAATAACCCATGTGAAAACTGATGGTTTTCTGTGGATATCAAACGGAATTTGTGCCAAATTCCTGGGTTCTTCTCAGCATCCTGGTGCCAGCAAGGCACTGCTGTCCCAACGGGATGGGGGTTGGCCCAGGGATGCTTCGGTTTGGAGTCGCCTCTGAGGAGGCGTTTTGGGGAAAGCTGCTCTAGCCTGCCCTGCGGAAGCGCGCTCGGATGCAGGATTGGGGAGCGCTTCTCTTTATCAGCAACCTGTTTTTCCAGCCTCGTAAGCCAAGTTGCGTCTTGCAAAGGTCAGAAATGTGCAATGTTTTTGTTGGAGGAGTCTTGGGTTTCGGCCGCCAGAACCCCAGACGCCTCTGAAATCCAAGGGCACCGGATCCCTGGGAATGATGACTCGGCCTTTCCTCACGGCCGAGCACTTATCTCCCGAGCGCTGCCCTCCTCCTACCTCTGTTCTCATCGGCCCCTTCGTTCATTTTAATCTCTTTGGGTGTGTGTTCTGCAGTGATTCACTTCTTAGGCATTGAACAGCTTTTAAGTTCATCCAGTTTACCAAAAAAACCCCAAGCTCAATTTCCTGTTTTAAAAACTGGATCTCCATGGAAAGGTCTTGCAACCTTTTCTCCAGAAAAGTAGGGAACATCTAGTCTGGTTAGTGTAGTTAATTAACTGCTGTAGTGTTCATGCCCTATAGTAATTTAAGGGTCAGGACTGGAGTTTGCAGCCACAGTCGCAGGTTTTCAGGAACAGGTTTTGGAAAAACCACTGCTTATTGGCCCCAGGGATTGGCCTTGGGAACTGGGTTCGTGGAGTGTGAGGGCAGCACTGAGATGTGAACTGCTTACCCAGAGCATCTCCTAAATGCGCCAAGGAAAGGTCCTAGGACCTCCCAGGCAGGGGATTATTGGGATTATTTGCTCTTCAGAGGGTTTTCTTCAGGTCTTTTGGTGCCACTTCTGGTGTGCAACTTTGCTGTGTCTCAGAGCCGCCTCCTGCTATTTTCACTGGAGCAGCAGCCCTGGGAACGCTGCAGCCCGGCATGAGCAGCAGGGCCTGTGAGGAGCAGGGAAAGGTTGGACAGTGCTCCTTGTTTGTTGTGGTTGCTGGTGTGCTTTTTAAATAAGACATTAAACTATATGCGATGTACAGCACGTTTCCCCCTAGCAAGCTAGCTAGTGGTGTGCTATATACAAACATATTTATTTATATAGATATATGTGTGTACATATATACACATATGTGTATGTGTGTATATATATACACACATATACATATATACACACACATATATGGAAACTTGGGCTGCTTAGGAAGAGGGCCACGTGGTTCACCGTGCCATCAGTGTATAGAATCATGGAATCAAGTCCCAGGGGTTTCAAAGGGTAATAGCTTTCTGTTGATTTTTATATATATTTAAAACATGTATTTGTTTATATTTTTAATATTTATATTTCTGTATTCATATTTATGTTATATTTATTCGAAATGGGAATTACAAGAACATACTTCATGTTTGGTAGGAAGTAAAGCTGGGAATAAATGTGACCTTTATGTGCTACAAAAATTGAACTGTTGGCTAAATCTGTTTGCTCTGAGGAAATAAAGTACTTGGTGTGTGAAGTCTGGATAAAACCAGAGCAGGTGCAGCTGTTACTCCCCTAACTGCCCTTTTTCCTGGTTTTAGAAAGGCCAAGGAAGTGGAAAGCCAAATGCTGGAGGCTTCGCTCTGTTTCTACACAAGGATCACAGGTTTGCCAGCCGTGCTACCTTGCACCGTCCCACCTGCAGGTAAATGTGTTGCACCTTGGAAAGGTGGGTTTTTTATTATTTTTTTTAATGATGAACCTTATAGCAATCTTAAAAGGCAAGAAGAACCTTTATTTTGAGTATTTTTCAATGTATTGACATTGTCCTTTTATGAAAACTTAATTGTAAAACACTTAAGATATTGCATAGAAAATACACATAGGAAAAAATATATATACACTTCCATAAAAATAGAATACATCTTAGCAAAATCACTTGTGTACAGTGTATTGACATTACTGAACCAATATTACTACATCTTTGGGGGAAAAAAAAGTTCCATTTGCAGGAAAACAAAACAAGAAACCCCAAAATATTTTAAGAGTTGGGAGTATTGGAATGGATATGGTTTTGAGCTAAATAAATGGCTATACCAGAATGTCTGAAAAAAAAAAAAAAAAAAAAAAAAAAAAAAAAAAAAGAAAGGAAATTATAAAGTATCTGCTATATAAAGCAAAAGTAGCCATGATGTTGTTTTTCCTTTTAGACAACGCCTCAACTTGCAGAGAAATCAAATGCACCCATTCCAATTTCTACTTTAGATTCTCCAGCTGAAAACAAGCTCTACTAACACAGTTCGGCGAGCTAAGTACTCTGGTATTTCTTTCTCTGATCCCCATGACGTGGTATATGCACAGCTCTAATTCTACCAGGTATTTGGTTTAAAAAGAAAAAAGCAAAACTCTTAGCAACCTTTAAAATATGCAGACCACCTAAAACAGCTGTTTAGTTTTTTCTGGTTAAGCTTTTCCTTAGCTGCTCTCGGCAGGGGCTGTCCCTCCTTGGTGCGTTGCTCGCTGCGACTCCCGCTCCCGCTTTGACTCGCTCTGCAGGTTTTCAGCACAGCCTGTGGAAAGAGACTACTCCAGTGTAACAAATACAGCAGGGGGGCCTCAATGCCCGGGATTTTCCTTCTGGGAAGGGGATGCAGCCCCCCGGAGCGAGGCCGGCGCGGGGCTCAGTAGGGGTAGGCGGCCACGGCGATGTAGACGACGAAGGTAGTCTGGTACTCGATGGCGCCGGCGGCGCTGCGGGACGCGGCGCGCACGCGCAGGCGGTACGTGCGGGGCTCGCGCAGCGGCCTCGTGCTGAACACCACCCCCTTGAGGTTCTCGGCCCGCAGGGCGAACGGGACGCCCGGGTCCTCGTGGGCCATCGTGAACGTGGTGCGCGGGTGCACGACCTGCTCGTGGGTGTAGGCCACCAGGCGGATCAGGTCCTGCCCGGCGGCGATGCCCAAGGGCAGCGACACCAGCTTGTACTCCAGGGCGTACGTGCTCAGCGCGCACTCCAGGTCGTTGGCCGGGCAGTTCTTCAGACAGAACCTGGGAATTAAAGGGAATCTTGAAGCAAGGGAGAGCAATGGTGCAGTAGAGGACTGGAATACGATTTAGAGGCTAAACCCTTCCCTCCTTTATCCTGGTGCTGTCTGCAAATCAGCTCCTGCCATCCCTGTGCATTGCACCTTTCAGGCTGCAGCCCGGGCTCATGTTCCCTTTTTTAATATACAGATATTAATATCTTTTGCTATCAATATCTTTGTGTTATTTAAATGTTACTGAAGTGTCTGGTACATTTTTTAACGTAACCCCATGATCATGTTCGTAAATATTAGAGATGAGAAAACTAAGGTTTTTAATGTGGACTGGCAGTTCCAGTGGATGTTGGACATTGGTGGTGTGTGCTAAACCATAAAGAACTCGGAATCAAAAAGGCAGAGGCAGCTTTAATCAAAAGCCAAGGTATGTGGCCGCTGTTAGTGCTGCTGCTCTTGCTCGTGGGTAATAGAGGTCAGGGAGAATTAACGTTTCGGGTCAAATGTCATTCCAGGTCAGACTGATCACGAAAGATGGATTCTGCTATGAAATGTGCTGTTTACCTGGATACATTGAAAGATCAATTTTTTGATTTTTGTTTTTTCATCCCAGAACAAGGAAAAGTTTGACTAATCTGAAAAACAAAACTCACTGAACCGCTGTGTTACTTTCATGACTAAAAATTTTACTTTAAATGCTTTCCAACTAATAGCGAGCTAGGTCTCTGGAGGAGGGAACCACTGAACTCAGATGCAAAATCAGCCTCATAAACGGTGAGTGACTGACTCTGAGGCAGCAGGAAGAATCGCAGAAGCTGCTGCCTGGGCCCCTTCCATAAGGGAACGTTCTCCCCTCTCCCATTCTCATCAGCAGGCTGATCCTGCACATGCTACTGCCAGATAAAGTTTCCAATAAAGTTTCTGATAAAGTTCCTTCTTGGAACTACAGATTAAAACCTGAGTGTGGCAGGAAAACACCCAGGAAGGACTGAAAATCAGACGTACCCAGAAAGGGGATCACGCTGGTAGCTTGGGGGACAGGGTGTGTCTATGCACTGGTAGCTTCCTCGCGTGTTGAAGCACACCTGGTTTGGTCCACAGTGGATGTTCTGCTCCAGGCACTCGTCAATATCTGAACGGGAACACATGGAGACAGTCGGGAGCTGCTACTGAGGTGTCGGATGTGGTTACAGGTTAGCAGAGCCGCACGATAGCACAGACCTCTGCAACAACTGAGTTTCCAGGAATCTGCCTTACAGCGTGGACAGCAGCATAAGCTGCAATGTGCAGCTCTTGTTATGAAAGCTAATTAATTGAAATTGGTTTTATGGTTTTTTGGTTTTTTTTTTTTGATAAGGCGGATTAAGGTTTGTATTTGCCCCAGAGCTGCTTTCAGTTTCTACTTTCAGTGAGTTAAATATCTAATGTTAAGGACACTTAAAGGAACTCTTGGTTGTCTGCTTTGCTGGTAGTTTTACTGTTGAATCAAGCTACAAAATACAAAAACTTTCAAAAATTGAAATTTTCAATTGCTATATCTCCTAAAGCAGATTCAAAGAGGTAACATACAAATTATATTCCATGCATATGTATCTTGTTTATTCATAAATACATTTATTCAGTGAGATTTCTGTACCTTGGCAGGTTTTGCCGTTGGCCATGAGACGATACCCGGAGGGACAAGAGCACTGGTAGCTCCCTAGGGTGTTTCTGCACTCGTGCTGACAGACATCTCTGTTTTCACATTCATCAATATCTGTGGGAAAGGAACATGAGAACATGAGCATCAGGATTACCTGAGTCTAGTCCTAAATCTAGGTTTTTCTGGACCCAAAGGACTTCCCTCCCTGCCACTTGTATAAAAGTGAATGGGCAGAGGTGGTAGAAGTTGGAGAGATGTTGTTTTCTGATGGGATTAAATGAAAAAGGCCAGCAAATCCCTTCATTACTCACCTGTTCCATCCCATACAATTTTGTTCTTAATAATTAAACCGAGCTCTGTGGGTTTACTTATCCGCACCCCTTTTGACAGCAGCCATAATGTATACTCTGGCTGCACAGACCTGCCCTGTAATAACAGAGGTCTGGGAAGGAGGGGCAACCAGCAAACTACACAAACCTACGCAGCCTGGGCAAATAATGGTGCCCCAAAAGCAAGCTGCCTGAAAAGGGGGGGGCTTTAGATAACATATATAACATATGTGCCCGGATTATCTCCTCAGAGGAAGCCTTGAGCTAGAAGAGTTTTCTTACAGTTAATCCCTCCTCAGGTAAAACTCTTCTTCCAAACTCACTCTTCTCATGCCAAGAGCTGCAGAGGTTATCAATAAATGTTCTTAATGCTCTTAACATTTAACATCTGCCTCTGAAGCAACGCAGTGCCAGAGCGCTGAATATTGTCCGAGCAGACTGAAGACATCCAGCCACAGCCCACAGGTAACTGCACTTTCCTTTGAAATGTTAGTTTCATGTACGTGGGTTAAGACTTGAATGATTAAAGCAGGGGAAGGAAGGTCTAGGGCAGTATGGAGCAGAACCCTGAGAATAAGGACTACAACATGAGAATTGCACAGATAGAGCTGACATTTACCTACACATCTGGCATTTCTTGCCTCATAGCCTTCAGGACAAGGTTCTCTAGGGTTCCTTCTAGTCCTGGAGAAAGGAATCCTGCTGTTCCTATACTCTGAGAAGGAGCTGTAGAGATTTGAGGAGTGCCTGTAATACTGTAGAGGTTGATAGTTGTCTCTCAGAGGGGAGAACTGGGCATAGTTAGAGCTATGGTGAGAGGCACCGAAACGGGGCAATCTCTGCAGTCCAGCGCAAGACTTCCCATCCCCTAATAACTGTTGTCCAGGGGGACAGACACACGCGAAGCTGCCGGGGCTGTTGGTGCACTGAAATGCACAGGGCTTGGGCACTTGTTCACATTCATTAATGTCTGCTCATGTGACATGATCCAGAGCAACCAACCATGTGGAAAGGAGAAAGAGAAAACAACATGTAACTATATGTATAGATGTACATATATATACAGCTCAGTCTGTGGAACAAACTCGGGGCATAACTGAGGCCCTTAGAGCAGTAAAACAGGAAGACCTCCAGGCCAGGTAGGTGGTTTGTCCTGCCCTGTATCATAACAGCAGCATCCCTTGCTTCTCCCCGCAGGGCTGTGAGATGCTGCTCTCGGCAGGACCCCCGTGGAAGGGCTGCCTGAAGGAGCCTCCTGTGGGAGGTAAGACCTGGCTGCGCACAGGGCTCGGGATGTGCCCGTCTGTTTCGGGAGGCTGCTCGGGACTGAGCAGCTCCTGTGGGGTCTGTGTTACCAGCATGATGCTCTCAGAAATGTAAGTGAACCTGAGGAGCCGAAGCTGGACACTGCTGCTCTGTAAAACACACACCGTTTTTGCTCTTGTTACGAGGAAGACAGGGAGGTCTCAATGCAGAGCCTTCCCGAGAGGGTTAGGAATCCTTCCAAAGGGTCCTGGGGAAAAGCAGCCCCACAGCTCCTGCCCAGGCCCTGGGTCATGTTCCATCATCCACAGTAACTCGACCAACCCTAGTACCAGTGTTCACCCTTAGCACAACAACCGTGGGCAACACAAAGGGGGTTTAAGGGTATCGCACGCTGAGTGTCTTTAACTGAACATGTATGTGAAATACTTGGTGGTATTTCAGGATTAGGCCTTTCTTCGTGAGCTGTCTGGCTCTAGGAAAAAAGAAACAATCTGTTCTGAAATATTAACGGAGCTACCTTAGGCCCAACAGAAAGTCTGACCATGTTTATTTATTTATTTTATAAATCTGACTTTATTTTAAAACTTGCTTCCGTTCTTTACTAAAACAACTAGAATAAAGAAAAAGGCTAGTTCCAAACAGGACTGTGTTGCCTTCAAAATGGGCAGGAATAAGTGCTATTAAGATACATAGCATCTATTCATGGTATATTCACAAGACCGTCTTTGGAGAATAATTCAATACTTAAAGGTTATTTAAGGTTATTATGATTTAATAATATGACATAAAGGTTATTATGACTTAATAAAGGTTTAACTATATTAGTAGAAAGCATTTAATATTAGAATTCCAAAATATCATTAAATCATTGCTAATATAGTCTGTAACCCTGACACAAATGGATGCTACCAATATGTTAAAAGTTATGTTGCCAAGAGTAAAATATTAGATTTCCTTTTATTGAACTACTAAATATTTTATGGTTTTGAATGTTTTAAAATTGTTTAGTAGTAAGAATTTACTATCTGGAAAGCTGAAAATGCAGACACAGTTGGGATGATGAATGCAGGAGTTAGAACAGCAGAGCTGCAATGTGTACAAAATTTTGTAATTGTTATTTCACAAATAATATTATAAACAAAAATGATATTTTAACGTAAGATATTACCCTGAGAACTCTTTTTTAATGAGCTAAGAGCTAATATGATGTTTAGTTTATATTTTTTCACTGTATGCTTAAGCTGAAAAAGATACTGAGAAGATGGAGTACAGGGTATGACCATGGATTAAAAGACTGCAGCGGTTCTGTACTTGCTCTGCGCTCCCTGAGCTGCTGGGCTCTGTGAGTGCTGGCCTCAGCTTTCTTCACCCGCACCGTGCGCGCAGCAGGTAAGTGCAGCCAGGTCTGCTCGCTGGAATCCCCTGGCTCTTGTCAGCGGCACTGGGGAGAGAGCTGGCAGCCCCTAAGCACGGGCAGGTGCCAGGGGCTGCCGTGGGGCCTGCAGCAGCAGCCCCCGCTGCAGCGGTGCCCCTGCTCGCCTGGGCACCTCCTGAGCAGCAGGAGTGGGCACCAATGGAGGGAACCAACCTGGAAACTGTAACGTGCCCAAGTTCTCATGCTGTGTTGGAAGGAGTGTTGAGACTTTAGGTGCCAGATAGCCTTCTATGTGTGATATGTAAATGCATTATGGTGCCTTTTGCTTCTGGTATGGAATGTTTAACTGTTTTATACATGGAAATACTGTAATTTGGGACATGAGGGATACTATAGTTTATACCATGCTGTATTGTACACCACCTTGGTGTGGTGTAGGGATGCCCCCCCTAGCCTCTTCCCCCGTGGGGCAGTGAGGAAGCTGCTCACCAGGCAACCCCCAGGATGAGTGGATGGGTGGGGTGGGTGCTGCTTACCCAGGTGGGCGCTGTGTGTGTATGTGTGGGGCGGCTGTGGGTCACGGCGCTGCTTACCCAGGCAGGCGCTGCCCACGGCGGGCGCGCGGAGCCCCCGCGGGCAGGCGCAGCGGTAGCTGCCCCGCGTGTTCTCGCAGCGCTGCTCCGGGCGGCAGCCGTGCGTCCCGGCCCGGCACTCGTCCACGTCTGCGAGCGGCACCGCGTGGGGAGAGACGGAGGCGGGTGAGCGGCACGGAGCAGGCGGCACCTTCACGCGCCCAGGGCGCGACCCAGGCTCCTGTGGCTAATGGGAACTCGGGGCGCAGCGAGGGGCCCGGGCCACCCTGGGCCTCTCCTTCCCTCTGCTCACCGACTGCACAAAGGGACACTGTTCCATAAAACACACGCAGGTAAGGGCAGGGGTGAGCACACGCACACCTTACACCTTCAGGGGTTTTACACAAATCTGTCTCATTAATTCTCTAACTTCTGACTTGAGTTTGCCAGTTCTCTCAGCTAATCTTGCCAGAGAGATGGATGTAATCCATCTTTTTAATGGGCTACTATAAAAAGAAATGGTGATTTGGTACTAGGTAGGGCAGCCCTGCTTCAGGCTCTTCACGCGGAACTCCTGAGACAAAACTTGTTATAAAACAGGGACAGTGGGGACAAAATATTGCAGTCAATAAAGAATTTATTGAATTAAGGTAAGGAGAAGATTGTGGGGGGAGGGAGAACATTCTTGTTGTGTCTAAGGAGCAATGGAAAACCAGCTCTTGCAGAGGGTGCACTTAATTTCTTGGCAATTCTAAATATTACAACAAAAAACAATTAACCCAGTAATGCTCCTGTAAGTGAAACCAGCCAGGGGTAAGTGTGGCTCTGCTTGATGAGGAGCTAGGGCCTGGTACAGAGACGTGACTGCTGCTGTTTTTGTGACCGCTGATCCTGGCCTTAGGGGTGTGCGTGCTGAGCAGCCCGGGTACCTACCCACGCAGGTGCCGTTGTCGCTCCTGGCCAGGCCCTTGGGGCACAGGTCGATGCAGCGGTAGCCCCCGCGCGTGTTCCTGCACAGCTGGTCAGCTCGGCACACCTTCTGCCTGCACTCGTTTATGTCTTGGTTAAGAAAGCAAAGGAAACACAAATGACCCTGCGTCCTCTGCAGTAACTCTCAAACAAGGTCCCTGTTTGACGCGCAGGGGCAGCAGGGCGCAGTGCAGGGGCTGCCTGGCCCCCATTCCCGTCCCTACCGGAGCATCTCCGGCCGCGCAGCTGGAATCCCGGCTCGCAGGCGCAGCGGAAGCTGCCCAGGGTGTTGACGCAGCGCTGAGGGCACAAGCCCGGCTCCTCGCACTCGTTAATGTCTGGGGAGTAATAATGATAACAATAATAACAATAAAATGTGAGCGGGGGCGGGAACGCAGAGCGGGGGCTGCTTCGTGAGGGCTCCGGGCTGGGGCTGGAGCCTGGGCTGGGCTCTGAGCCCCGGCCCTGCGGCAACAGGAGCAGCCTGGGCTGAGGTAAGGGGGGAACTGCAGCGAGGGGGGAAAGGGGGGGCAGAGAATGCAGGGCTGGGGGAGGAGGAGGGTATAGGGGAAGGGTAAAGGGAGGAAGGAGGGAAAAGGTGGGATGAGGAGCAGGGGTGATAAAGGGGGCGACTGTGGGGAGAAGGGAGGATAAGGCAGGAATGGGAGAAAAGAGGGGTAGGAAGGAGAAAGGGGGGGAAGGACAAAAGAAAGAGATAAAGGGGGTAGAGAAGGGAGTTAATAGTGTGGGATGGAGAGAGGAGGGGGAAAAGGGGGATGAGAGCTGAAGGGAGGGGAAGGGAGGATAAGGGGCGGCAGGGAGGTAGATAGGGGGAGGGATGAGGGGTGAGTTAGGGGGGGAGAGTTGAGGAAAGGGGGGATGAGGGACTATGGGGGGTAGAGGGGAAGGACGGGGGAAAAGGAGGGCATGGGGCAGATGGGGGATAAGGGGGGGAGAAAGGGATGGGGGAGATATGGGGAGAGTTTGGGGGATAAGTGGGGGGACAAGGGGTAGATGGGAGAGGGTTAGGATAATGGGGGGGATTCGGAGGGCAGTGGTGGAAAGAGGGAGGGAGGGTGGTTAAGCGGGGGCATGGGGGTGGATGGGGAGGGGGGACAAAGGGGACATAGGGAGCAAATGGGGGAGGGATTGGAGGGGACAAGGGGAGATTAGGGAGGTGGAGGGAGGGAGATCCCCGGTAGATAGGGAGGATGGTTGGGGGAACAAGGGGTGTATGGGGTAGATGAGGGAGGGTGAAAGGGGGGAGAGATGGGGGATAAGGAGGACATAGGGGGGACATGGGGGAGGGATGGGGATAAGTGGGGGGACAAAGCGGGGTAGATAGGGGAGGGATGGGAGAGACAGGGGTATGGGGGATAGATAGCGCAGGGATGGGGGAGAAATGGGGGATAGAGGGGCATGGGAGGGACAATGGGGTAGATGGAGAGATGAGGTAGATGGGAAGGGTTGAGGGATAAGAGGGATAGATGGGGAGGGAGGTGGGACAAGGGAGGTAGATGGGGGAAGGTTGGGAGGGAAGGGGGTATAAGGGAGGATAAGAGAGGGAAGATGGGGGGATCATGGGGAGATCCCCATGGAGGGAGGGGGGATCACAGGGAGAGGGATGGGGATAGATGAGGGAAAGGATGGGGGATACATAGAGGGCAGGGAGGAGAGGATGGGGGGACAAGGGCAGTATATAGGGGGCAGTTCGGGGTGATAAGGGGATGAGGAAGGAAGTGGGGACAGGGGAGACATGAGGGGATTAGAGAGGCAGAAGGGGGAAGAAGGAAGGAGGGGGGATAAAGGGGGTATGGGGAAGGATGGGGGAGACAAGGGGGTAGATGGGGGAGGAATAAGGGGGGAGTGATGGGAGGATAAGGGGGGCATAGGGGATAGATAGGGCAAGGGATGAGGGGACAAGAGGGGAGAGGGGAAATAAGGGGGGACAAGGGGAGGAGATGGGGGACAAAGGGGTAGATAGGGGAAGGGAGGGGGATAGCGAGGAGGACAAAGGAGGTAGTTAGGGGGTGGGGTGGGAGAATAAGGGGGGCATGGGTGGTGGATGGCAGGAGGGATAAGGGGGGCGTGATGGGGGTAGATGGGGTAAAGGGGACATGGGGGTAGACAGGAGAAGGGATGCAGGGACAAGGAAGGTAGATAGG